AATGAAGACATACTTGGATGTATCAAAACTTCCTTGAGCCGTTGTAGTAACTGAGCTGAATCGGTCCTGGAAGGGGACTGTTCCTGGTGGAAGGCAACGCTCGTGAATGAGACACATTGTACTTCCACTATCCAATAGAACTTTAAAGGTGTTCATCGTCGGTAGGCCTTGGATGGCTTTACATACTAGGATCACTGTTGGTAGTACATCTTGCACATCCGGTGGTGTTTTTAGAGCTCTCAAGGTGACTGCTGTTGGATTCTTAAAAGCTTCTTCATTATCAAGGCCATAAAGCTCAAGGTTATCTGTTGGTGGTTGAGTGAATGGTGGTGGAGGCAATGCAAAGTAAGCCTCGCTTGAATGTCACCACTGTTGATTTGGTCTTTGTCCTTCTTGTCCTTGGAATTGGACCGTAGAGCCCGGATTGCTGTTGGACTGTAGTGATACATGGCTTGGAGGGCCACTGGAGTTGGAGCCATGATAATTCTGAGTTTGGATCTGCATTGACTGTGGTTTCATGTTTCCATGTTCATCCATATAATACAATCCTGGAGTGAACCTTTTACTGCTGTTGCTTGCATTTGAATTCCCCTGGCTTCCTCCGTTGCTATTGCTCCGATTATTGTTATTGTTATTGCCTCGGTTGTAACCATCTTTGTTGAAACGACACTCTCCCCATAGATGTTGACCCTTGTGTATTCTACAAGGCGTTGCATTGATTCTATTCTGTCTTTCTTCCGGGGTATCATTCTGTCTGTTGTTTCTATTGCTGTTGTTGTTGTTGTTGTTGCTTCCCTTCCTTCTTTGCTTTCCATTATTCCTTCCGCGTTGTCTTGCATTAGTAGTATCTGTAGCTTCATCGGCTGCTGGTCTTTTCCTTGAACGTTGCTGTTCTTCATCTGCCATTCCTTTTTGTTCAGCCATGAACTCTACGATTTCCTCTATTGTGTCCCTCAATATATTTCTCCCACACTTTCTCTAATCATTCTGCCAGGACTTGGGGAAAGATTTGAAAAGGATCTGTTTGATCTCTCTTTCTGATAAGGGCTCACAGACGCCATGAAGAATGTTGGCTCT